TATATGTTTGTGAAGCCACTTGCTCCAGAACTTTTCTTTGTTCATGCCTTTTTCAGGGCAAAGTCTAGGGTTTAAGGGAAGAAAGTCTTACTTTAAGGCATTTTCTTAAGAGTGCCAAGGTCCACAAAAGAATTTTCCCAGGGACCCCTGCTGATACAACTAGTTCAATCTAATCTTCACCCACCAGATATGATTTTTTTTTTAAGATTTTATTTACTTATTTGAGAGAGAGAAAGAGAGAGAGAGAACATGCACAAGCTGGGGGTGGGGGGAGAGAAGCAGACTCCCTGCTGAGCAGGGAACCTGACTTGGGGCTCAATCCCAGGACCCCAAGATCATGACCTGAGCTGAAGGCAGATGCTTAACCAACTGAGCTACCCAGGCAATCCTTACCAGATATGTTTAAATTACTTCTGGCTATTTCAAAACAGATCATACCTATAAGAGTAAAGGCATCACACAAATTCCTCCTGCAAGGGCAGAGACTCACAAGATAGCACCAGGACCTACATTCAGGACTGAGTGTCATATCAGAGTCATTCCAAACTGACACTTCAAGGGAGATAATACTCAATTTAAAAGTAAGCTGTAGTTTGTAACTAGCCTCATTACGTATCCCTATAGTATGTGGATGGTATACTTCAGTTCACAAAGGTTGGACCCAAGTATAACATGTCAACAACATGCCTTATATTTGAAAATCTCCAGGTCTCTTTAAGAACCACATGTTTTATTCCTCTTTATGTGAACTGTGGGTAAAAACAGAAGTTAGAAGTTTGGAACTTGGAATCAGACAGCCTGGAATAACATCTGTAGATACTAGATTAAGTAGGCATATTAAAAGCAGATTAGATAAACCTAAGAGTTAAAATTTTTAGTTCTTTAGGCTTTTCTGAATTTCAAGTTTTCTCTTACCTTAATCCAAGGTTGGGTTTTAAAAATATATTTATATATGAAATACATAAAAAGGTATATTTACATAAATAGATTTTTTTTTTCTGGGCACTTGCCTCATCAGTATCTATAAGTATATTCCGATGTCCATTAACTAGGAAGACTGTAAGAGATTGAATAAAACTCTTTGCTTCAACCTCTACACATTTGGGATATTTTGGCTACAGAACCCCAAGAAACAGTACTAGTAGGAAATAATTGACAGGAAACTAATGAAAAATAATAGTGTCTGCATTTCCTTTTACCCCCAAGGCAGGGTGGGGGAGGGCATGACTGCTAGGTCTCCCATTAATCCGCTTGCTCTTTTCATCTTTGGCCATGGAAAATCTCCTTCTTGATCTTAGACCGGCCACCCAAATCTGTGCCCCACACCATTCATTAATTTGATCTCCTCAAATACAGCTGCAACCCATTTTCTTTGAATTTTTCTTCCTTTGCTGCATTTGTTAGAATTAGACTCTATGTCCCTTGGGGCAGGACTCTTTTTATTCCATATATAATTCTTTTGGGTGGTCGTGTGTTAATATCAAAATTTAAAGCCACCTAACCTTATTTATAAAATTGGTTTTCATGTTTAAATGGCTAAAGTAAATCATGAAAGGGGAAAAAATTATGGTTGCCAAGGATATACTACTTGATACATGTGACCTCATTTCATCTTTCAGTGACCCTGCAGTAGAACTGTCTCTCTATTTTACAGATGAGGCTCAGAAAGTGGCCTGACTGTAACTTAAACCAAACTTTTGCTGATGTCAAAAACCTCTCTTTATGCTCTTCCCCTAAACAATCCGCCTCCAGTCTGTACTGAGGTCTGAGGAAACTATTGAGGTCTGAATCCAGTTGGTTCAGATCCTTGACTCCTTGATGGTTCCGTAACTCAAATTTTATAGTTTCTTTCCTTAATTGTTTTAAAGATTTATTTATTTGAGAGGGAGAGCACACATGCTCATGAACGAGTGGGAAGGCTGAGGTGCAGAGAGAGAAGGAAAGAGAGAATTCCAAGCAGACACCCCACTAAGCACAGAGCCCCACATGGAGCTCGATCCCTGGACCCTGAGATCATGAACTGAGCTGAAACCAAGAGCTGGACGCTCAACTGACCAAGCTACCCAGGCACCCTAAATTTTACAGTTTCAACACCATAAATTCTAGCTTGGTGGTTAGGCAGGTGCAAATTTATTAAACATGTGCTATTAATAAATTAAAAAAGTAAAGAAAAATATTTTGAGAAATAATTAGGACCTCAGCTTAAATATAAATTTGGCATGGATCCTCTAAATAGGTCACACCACAGAACTGAGGTTCTCAACTTTCTTGATTCATGCCATACCTAGGCCAACCGAGAGCTAACCATCCTGTTTATTAAGTAGCAAGGCACTAACAACTTAATAAATACTTGTGTCTTAAATACCTTACAAAAATTTGTGTGAAAAAAGTAATACAATTAAATTGAAATAAAGATATTTTTGTTTTATTCTAAAATTACCATCATTACGTATTAATGGAACATGTGCATCTGTTGGGCACTGCACAACTTCTCAAACCATGATATAAGATCGTCTTCAGTTCTTGTTCCACATTTTCACTTGATACTTGCTTTTCTGTCACAGCAACTGCCTAAAATCCAGTCTTAGACACAGCATCATGGAAAAGTGTGCATTCCAATGTTGAAATCCAACCATTTTGAGCGACTACTTTGCATGGTATCTGACAGATGTCACTGTTTCCCCTCAGACGTTTAAAATATCCTGGGGTGCCTCAGGGCCCAGGCAAATCTTAAGAATATCTTCCCCCCTCTTTTTTTTTCTCTTCTTTCTTTCTCTCTTTTCCTCCCTTCCCTCCCTCTTGCCCTTCCTTTACTTTCCTCTATGTTTGTGTTATGATGATAAAACTCGAGGTTCATTTGTAACTCCAATTCTCTCCCCGTGATTGAAATCTTCAACCTGGACTGAAGTCAACAAGAAAGCATATGTTTTGGCTGAAAGACATATGGAAATCTGATGTTTAGACACATTTCTCTAGCAACAAAGCAAAGTTTTCACCAAAGAATTTTTTTCCGTTATCCAACTGACTATCTCCCACTGGATGAACCAGGGAAGACAGAATGAAAGAGGGAGAAGGAGGGAAGGAGAGAGAAAAAAAACTTGATTAATAAAACTTTTTTATTTAAGAATGTGATGTACGAGGTGCGGACTCTGAGAGGTGACTAGGTCAGGAGGGTGGGGCCCTCAGCAATGCAATCAGTGCCCTCACAAGACACAGACACCGTCCTTCTGCCACGTGAGATGCATAAGCATTCAGCCGTCTGTGGAACAGGAGGTGAGTACTCACAAGATACTAAATCTGCCGGCGCCTTGACCTTGGCCTGTCCAGTCTCCAGAATTATGAGAAATACATTTTTGTGAGTTATAAGTCACCTGGTCGACGGTGTTGTTATAGCAGCTGGAATGAACCAAGACAGGTCTCTTCATAGCTTCCTTTTCAGCAGGAAAAGTCACTATTTAAAAAAAAAAAAGGAAAAAAAGATTTGGCCACTAAGGGAAAATCTGAGGCACATGAGCGTTGCATTCACAAATGGCCAGTCAACCGTCCTGTCATGGCTGACTCCGTACGCATCAGGATGGTCTACGTCATTCTAAGCCAACAGCAGCTTCACACAAAAGAATTTCCTTTCTTGTTTTATCCACTTCCAGCACATGCTGGTGTGGGGCTCTGCTCCTCGAAATCCCTCAGAGGACTCAGGCCGAGGACAGCTTCGTCCTGATGTGGCGGGAAGAGCATATGGAGACTGTACCCTGGCTCTTTCAACATCTGCCTCGAAGATCTGACCCTTCCACTCCCCTTGCACTGGCCAACACAGGTCACGAGGCTAGGCCCAACTCCAAGGGGATAGGAGACGTGCAGGAGCACCGTGGGCAGGAAGGAGAGGAGGTAGAAAGGGGACGGCCTTCCTGATGACCACACTTGCTCGGAGGGCTCCCAGGCTCATCCTGTCCACGAGAGAACTGCATTGTCAGCAACAAACACACCCTTCCCCCTTCTCTCCCTCCTGCAGGAGGTCATGGGAAAAGGCAAGCTGGATGTGTAGACCCTAGCCCCCATCTAGCCAACTCTCACCAGGATGGCAAATGTTGCACATGACCTGGTTCCTGTTATGGGACTTTTGTATTTTCTGAACCTCTGAGCAAAATGAAGCTGCAGCCCAACTTGGGGTCAGAAACAGGAGAGGTGGCAGGGGGTGACCCTGTATGGCTGAAACGATCCTTGAGAACCCCCACCACAGTGGGGGATGGGCAGTGGGGCTGCTGGATGGCTGGGTGTGCCCATCGTTCATAGGAAGGACGGCTCAGGAGAGCAGAGTGGAAGCAAGAACAACTTAAAGGGCAGGAGGGGATGAAATAGGGGAGAGGTAAGAGGGAGACTGGGGAAAGGGTGAGATGGGGAGGACGAACACCCTTTTCATCTCTGGTCAGTTAGGGGCACAAAGCTCTTCTTACATCCCACACAGTGTGACTCATAAGCATCCCAAATGCATGTCCCACTGGGGGGGTCTGGGATGGGCCCGGGTAGGTCCTCTGCATTGGAAATGTGAGTTCCTCTTAGAAGCACACATGAACTAACATTAGCTTTGTTTTGCTTGTTTGTTTTGTTAGCTCACCAACCGATAACATAAATTATAATTTGGATTCCTTAAAAGACACCTAAAAGGAGGAGCTGAACAGGGGTGTGGGTTTAAAGATGAAATGTCCTATGGTAACCTGAGGGCACCTGATTCCCCTGGGCCAATACGATCCAGATAACATTTAAATTCTGGTGTTCATAGGATCACTTAGTACATCGAATCCTTTTATTGTGAAATAAATCATTGTATTTAGTAAATGCCAATGATGTCAGGTAGAGAGAATCATTTGATGTCATCGATCAGAACCATCAGAGAAGGGGCACAGCTGGTTTGAGATGAATCCAGTTTTTGGAAGTTCGTGGCTGCCAGAGAAGCAGGTGACTCCCCACACTTCTCAAAATGTCACCGAGAGTCCTTTACTCTCCCTGTGCATTCTGAGAGAAGTCTTGTTCCAAACACAGGTTTCCCTATAAACTTTCCAGGACCATCTACTGTGGAAAATAAGCTGTTTGTAGCATTGGGACTCCACACAAAGCATCCAGAGAAAGATACATTTTTAAATGTTTATTGGAGACTCAAAATTATTCCCACGTCAGGAAAAGATGACTGGATCCACTGTCCAATTAAGCTCTGACTTGAAGACTGGAGGCTTGAAGAAAGATGCAACCATTTCCTGCTGCAGATAAACTGAAAGGAGCTTAATGTGAAAGATATGCCACGGCAACAGTTAGTAGGTGTCATGTCAGATAACGGATGGCCCAACGTGGCGGGAGACAGGGTAAGCCTCATAAAAAGTATGGCTGACTTGGGGGCAGAGACTAGTGTAAATTCTGGCTCCTGGAGGACTGATGTGGTTGCTTTTCTGTTCGGTACAGATTTTAATTAGAAATGTAGTTTTCCTCACAAATGGTTCCATTAGTTGTGCTTTAATTATAGACTTTGACCAAAAGAGCTAGAAGGAGGGCAAACAGAGCTAGGCCTACAGACACCCCCAGTGCACAGTCTCCACGGAGCTTTTGCAAGCGGAGCGCCATTCTGGAACTCGCGGGGTCCCGCCGAACCGTGGAAGTGTGGGGCACCGAGCTCAGGTGAGTCCCAAGCCTTTTTCTGAAGTCCTATGAAGATGGAAACATAGAGGGGAAAAACGTGATTTTAAGATACAGAACAGGCCTACTGTGACTATCAGTCAAGCATGAGTCTCTCAAGGAAGGTTTTTTGTCTTTACTGAGATGTAATTGATACAGAACATTGTTATTAGTTCAGGGGGGCAGCAGAAGCATCCCGTGTTTTATGGACTCCAAAATGACCCCCACAGTAGGGCTGCTTATAACGTTGAGAGCCACACATAGTCACAATCTTTTTTCTTTTGATGAGAACGTTTAGGATCTCCTCTTGGCAACTTTCAAATATGCAACATAGTAGCTATAGTCACCGCCCTGTGCTTGATACCCCCAGAGCTTACTCAGTGCTGTAACTAGAAGTTTCCACCTTTCCACCCTCTTCACCCACCTCGCCCACCCTCTCCACACCCCCAACTCTGGCAACCACCAATCTCTTTTCCAGATCTATGAGCTCCATTTTTTTTTTTTTTTTTTAGATTCCACATATAATTGAGCCCATATGGCATTTGTCCTTCTCGGACTTAATTCACTTAGCGTAATTCCCTAAAGGTCCATCCACGCTGTTGCAAATGGTAAGATGTCTCTCTTTTTTATGTCCGAGTAAGACTCACATATACAGACACATGCACACACACACACAAACACACACGATATATATCCCACATCTTCTTTGGATAAAGAGACCGGACATTTAGGCTGTTTCCGTATTTTGGTTACCGTAAATCATGCTACAATGAACACAGGGGTGAGTGTTTTCCCTTTCTTCAGATAAATATACAGAAGAGGAACTGCTGGATCATATGGTATTTCTGTTTTTAATTTTCTGAGCGGCCGCCATACTGTTTTCCACAGCGGCTGCACCAATTTACATTCCCTTGCAACACTGCCTTTTTCTCCACATCTTTGCCAGCACTTGTCATTTCTTGCCTTTTTGATAACAGCATTTGTGACAGGTGGGAGGTGATAGCTCACGGTGGTTGTGATTTGTGTTTCCCTGATGATGAGGGACATTTAGCATGTTCCGTGTACCTGTTGGCCAACTGGATGTCTTCTTTGGACAAGTATCTACTCACATCCTCTGCCCATTTTTTTATCAGATTGTTTTTTCGCTAGTGAGTCATAGGAGTTCTCTATATATTTTGGATATTATCAGGTATCAGATATATGATTTGTAAATATTTTCTCCATTCAAGTAGTCTGCTTGTTTTGTTGATGGTTTTCTTTGCCGTGTAGACACTTTTTAGCCTGATGTAAGAAGCGATTGCTTAGTAACTTCTCCAACATGGATACATTCAAACACCCACCGTGGGCCAGGTAGCCCCAAGTTAGGTATGAATAAATCACATTTCTTTGCCTTGAAATATCAGGCCAAGTTCATGATTTTCCAGATAATACACAAAATATATATGAGAGGAAGAGAGAGAGAGTTTAAGGAGAAGCATAACATTTATGTAGACTGGAATCGTATAAAAAATGTACCTTTGGGAGATGGAACCATATCTACTCAGCAAAAAAAGAGAATGACAGAGGAAAACTATGGAAGCTGTTTTATTCTGCAAACATATCCCTCCGGGTAGAGAGTCCCAAGATGCCCCAAACATGAAGAGGGAGCTGAAGGGTGTGGATGGCCAGAGGGACAGGCCCACCGCACTAATTTTCTGGTAGTCTGTGCTTTTTAGTCTGTGATGCTTTTTACTGGGGGGTGTGCAGAGGTGTGGGGAGGGGGCACCTGGCTGTCTGAAGACGGTTCTAGCTTTTCAAAGCATAACTTTAATTCTATCATATAAGATCTCCGTCTTATCTACAGGCTTTAGAATCGCTGCCTCCCCTGTTGAGACCGGAAACACCACTCTGAGAGATGGATATGGAGGGAGGCAGGAGGGTGTGGACGCGAGGAACAGTGTGGGGGAACGAGGGGGCAACCCAGAGGCAGGACAATGTAAGGCACATCTGTGGAAGTACAAGAAACCCACAGCAGCACAAAACGTGTTTCAATAACCATTTTATTTTGCTTATTCTTTCCTCCCAAGCTCCCTAAGACCCTCTTGTTGACACCTGCGTCCTCTGGGTGGGGAGTGGGAGTTGCAGCTCACTGTGCACAGTAGATGCAAGGAAACCGTACCTTCCAGAAGGAAACGGTGGCCTGAAGGCACAAGGTGCACCAAAGGGAGGGAAGAGAACAGGAGTAGAGGATCCAGTGGTGAGTCACGGCGGGAGGTGATGAGCATCTGTTAGGATGATGGCAGATGTCCCCCCTGGAGAAGGAGGGACCACGGACTTTTGATGGAGAACCCACAGGTCCTGAGTTCAGATGAGTGAGTAACGAGAGGTATAGAGAATACGAAGGGGGAAATGAAAATAACTTTCAGAATCCAGTTTCCACCGGCTAATGATTCCATATGAGAGATGTGCAAGGATTCTTGCTTTGACGCTAGGAGACTCGTTGCAAAGTCAAAACCAAACACCAAAAAACAAACTGCTAACCACCGGATAAATCTGCCAATCCGGTGCCAGTCAAATTAGGGCTCACTTCTGCGCTCCACAGGTATCTGAACCGACCCCCTGCTCGTGTCCATCCCTCGAGAAGGGGGCACGCAGTGAACAGACGAGCTTTCTTCCCTGCAGGGGCGGGGACGGTCACCAGAGCTCACAGGTCCACCCAAAGCTGCCCCCGCCTCAGGGGACCGTTTTCTTGTGAATCTGGCTTTCTGTGTGATACTTTGGAGCTAAGAATATGCTGACAAACTTTTAGTTTGCCTAAAAGTAGTCTCAGTATCTCAAGGACAGCCCTCATCTGGACCCGGCGGCTGCCTCGGGAGAGAACGTAGTTCTTCTTTGCTGCAATGACATCAGGGATGAGAGTTCTTCAAAGCAGGGAGGCTCTCTGCCTACTTCACCCCCAGGTTTGGCCTTGCAGCTGCGGGGATGGAGCAGGGACACAGCAGGGACCCGGGAAGTGTTTAAATGTGACGGAGTGAGTGAATGATTAAAAAACTGTGCCTCTCCGTGTCCCTAGAGACCTGTGTGTCCTGTGATGGGCGCAGGGAACAAGTCTACAGGAATCCTAAAGTGTTGCCCCTAGAGATTAAAGCTTCTTAAATTTGGATTTACGAGACCATCCTTGAGAGGCTAATTCATGTCTCATCGGCCCAAGTTTGAGATTTTTGAGACGCACCTGGCTTTGAAAAGCCAGTGAAGACTACAGACTGTACCCCCCAAAATGTGGGGGTGCCTGTGCCCATATGCACTCAGCCCCACCCACACCCCCACTTCAGAGAGCTCAGCTAGGGGTCCAGCCAGACAGTGTGGGGACTGAGGCTTTCTGTTCAGGAAAAAGTATGAATACCAAATTAAGTACAGGGTGTGGAAGGGGCCCCTCCCAGAGTGAGCCCCTGAAATGCAGCCTCTCCTGGCTTCTGGAAGAATCCCCCTCTGTTCTGCCCATCCGTCTGCATGCTGGACCCTGGTTCTACCTCCGCCATTCCAAACTGTCCCTTGGGGATCGCTGGCGCCCGGCCAGGGGTCAGGCGGCCCTGGACAGGATGAGGCCACATCTTAAAGCACTGAGCATCTGTGTTTATAGAACCTTCTGCTTCCCAAAGCTGCCTTGTAGCTAATGTGTTTGCGCTCTCCACCTTGACCTTCGATGACTGTTCCACAAAATTTCTGCTCCTTTTTCTAACTCATCTATCATAAAATTTTGCTCCAAATATGAAAGTTACCTAGTGAATTACCAGAGTGGATGACCTGCAGATGTGTTCTTCCCTGGGCATTTCCTTATCCCCTTCCATACCGGGCCCACCACCCAATCCCAGCAAACAGCTAGTGTGTCTGAAGGTAAGGGACCCTCCCATCCCCAGGGGCCGAGCCTGCAGCACAGAATCTCACAGACAGCAACGGGCGGGGCAGCCGCACCCACTGGCCCTGGGGCTCTCCGGAAGATCAAGGTGGGCACCTGAAACGAAACACGGCAGGAGAGGGACGATGCGGCCTGTCTCTACCACACTGTGCTTGTTTTACAACTTCACCTTTTACCGATCCAAGATCTTGATTAAAAGAATTTGATGATACATTTTTAAAATATAAGATTGAGATAAAGACTTCTCAGCTGGCAGCGGTCAGCAGGGAGCTAGCTTTGTACACTTCAATAGTCACCAGCATTGTGATGCTGAAGGAAAAGTAACTTAAAAATTTAGGAGGGGTGCTTGGGTGGCTCAGTGGGTTAAGCATCTGCCTTTGGCTCAGGTCATGTTCCCAGGGTCCTGGGATCGAGCCCCGCATTGGACTCCCTGCTCAGCGGGGAGCCTGCTTCTCCCTCTCCCTCTTCCTGCTACTCCCCCTGCTTGTATTCTCTCTCTCTCTCTCTGACAAATAAATAAAATCTTAAAAAAAAAAGGAAACAGAAGGACTGTCTCTTGAAGTCCAAGATATTCCAACATTTCCACATACAACTATGGCAGTCCTCTATACAGTCAGAAGCAACATTCATGAATAGGAAATACTGTAGCATTTCTATGATGCAATTTACACAAAAAGTGCTCTTAGGTGAGATGATGATAAGTAACCGATGCTAATATAAAAGTTTATGTACGCACATAGACACACAGATTTAGAGAAAAACAGTACGGCCAATAATTCCGGGAAGTAAACAAAAGGCACAAATCTTCCCTAAATTTCTTAAACATTATTACCAAAGGTTATTAATTCTTGAAATTCAAGATGCACTTCCGTCTCTCACACTGTGACACGCCCACTATGGGAAATGTTATTGCTTGCTAAAACTAAGGAAACACCAACACTCAAACTTACACATTTTAAGAAATCAAACTCCACTTAGAAATGCCTTTTTCAAAACAGAAATTTGAAACGAGGCAGGATAGGACCTTTGTTTGATCAAAAAGATCCCTGAGTGTATCCAGTTATAGCAAACTAAGGACAACACTGAGAAAGTGTTCACTTTGATCAATAAGGGCTATTCCTCCCACCCCCATAAA